CAATTAATCCATTCCAGACACCCAAAAATATTAAAAAAAAATAATTTTTTAAAGAATAACTATAGTTTTACATACAGAAAAAATGAGAAATAAATATAAATAGTGTAAATATAAACATTACATATCTTTATTAAAGACTCTTATTGGCTCTTCCCTGTGGTCCTCCACTAACTCTTCCACATCCTGGCCACTCACTTCCAACCCCATGGACTTCCCCAAAGACACAATACATTCCACAACAAACATAGGGTCGACAGGGTCAGCCTCAAACCCTTCAAAATCTTTGTCGAGGACACATTCTGGCTACAATTTTCTCCAAGCAGAGTTCAAAGTCCTGGAAGTCACTTCCTGCCAAGCCTTACCTTTAACCCTTTCAGGGTCCGTCCCGTAGATCTACGGCTTTACGTTCAGGGTCCAAACCGTAGATCTACGCCATGAGCTCAGCTCACTCTGATAAACTGTGAGTGGTACATTTGGGCCTAGATATGAGAGAATACATCTATGTGGTATGTGTGCACCACATAAAACAGATCCTGCAGCACACTGTGTATAATGAGAGAAAAAAAATGAAATCATGATTTTTCGATTAAAACAGCAACTTTGCAGTGTTTTTTCGTATGTTTTTTATAGTTGTATTTGCGATTTCTTGGTCTCATTTGATAGAATGGAAGACATATTACAGAAATAGAGATGATTTTGATTGGTTTTAGCATTGGAAATGGCTTGAAACTGAGCTCAAAGTAGCGGAAATGTTAAATTTTTGCCGATATTCAAGAGTAAACAAACAACCTCACACATCTAATACACGTCAGCTGGTGGGTCTAATATACATTCACAAATATAGTGATGATATTTATACAATTATTACAGTATTGCATAAGAGTAAATCTTCTATTTTTTGGTGTGAATAAAAATTCATTATGTGAATAAAAAATCAAAATGGAATTTATTTGTAAAGCCTCAAAACATAACTAATGAACAGAGGAAATGTTAGTTTAGTGCCAGGAATGCCTACATTGTTCATTCTGGACCCTATTTTGAAATTGGAATATTTTGAACTTTGTGTTAAATTGGCCAAATTAACAATTTCCGATCACTTTATTTTGTAGTTGAAACAGTTGACTTGGCGATTTCTTGTGCTCAATCGATAGAATAGAAGTAATACTAGTGAAATAGCTAAGAATTTGGTTGATTGGAATAATGTAATTGGCCTAAAATGGGAGTCAAAGTCGGCAAAATCGCCGATTCGTAAATATCGCTGACACATCAAAATTCGCGAGAGCATAATTTCGTCAATTTTCCACCAAATTTCGTACTTTTTGTTTTATTACCTTCACAAAAAGATTCTCTACGATTTCATGAGAAAAAATAACAAATTTTTTTTTTTGAAAATTCTTGGACACTGGTGCGTGACTCCAGATTTGGGCCTTGGACCCTGAAAGGGTTAAGGCTTATGCAAGTCTATTTTTTTTTTTTTTTGTCTTAACACATCGGCCGATTCCCACCAAGGCTGGGTGGCCTGAAAAAGAAAAACTTTCATCATTATTCACTCCATCACTGTCTTGCCAGAGGGGTGCTTTACACTGCAGTTATGAAACTGCTATCGTGTTTCTTAATTTCTTTACCAAAGGGCTGGCACTAGGAACTTTCTTTGGAGCCATGGTGGCTTATTTCACAGTCACAATCAATAAACAAGCACAAAAATTGTGAAATGTTTCAGTTGAATATTCACTCAAGTAGTGACAAAGCTAGACTGACGGCATTCCCCAGGCGGGCGGATGCATACGTTACGTGCGATTCCTGGGACAAAGTCTGAAATTCGAAGGAAAATTTTACACAAAAAAGTGTCTGAAATCCAAGAAGTCCAATATCCAGTGCATGCAAAATCCGGGGTTCCACTGTATGTCTTTCAAATGAGATCAAGAAACTGAAAATACAGCCATAAAAACCATATGAAAATACACCAGTGTCGCTCTTTTAAAAACAATAAGTCGCATTTTTTTTTCTCATGCACTGCGTGTTGCAGGATTTTTTTTCTGTGATGCACACTTATCACAGAGACCCATTCACTCATATCAAGGCCCAAATATATCACTCATAGCTTATCTGAGTGACCTGAGCTCATGGTGTATTACTATTGCACTGACAGTGACATCAAAGCTGTAGTACTATGGCACAGTCAGCGAAAGGGTTAAGCATGCAAAGTTGTAATAATAATAATGTAAAGTTTTTGGAACAGGCAGGATTGGAGCTATTTACAATTGTGATATTTCAGTAGTTTATGATAATGGTTTTGAAGGAATGGTACAGTGTTAGAGTACAGTGCAGTAGAGGTGTGTAGGAGCAGGCAGTAGCTGGTGTCTCTTTCCTGCTCTTTAGTTTATTCCCACTCCTCTGGCATCTTATCCAGGATGCATTACGCATGCTCATCATTCTTTTATTATTATGGTGAAGGTTAATATGCCTGGTTATTGTGTGGGAAGATAGTGATGAGGATAATTGTCTGAAGGTGGATGTGGCATGAGCTTCCATTGTCCTCTGCCTTGCATGGCAATGGACATGTCCAGTATGCAGGTAACTATGGTGGTGGCTTACACATAACACATATAATGTACATACATTCTTAACCAGTCTTTCAAATTGCACATGAACTCTCCACATGCATAAAAGGAATGTACACAAAATACCAGTGCATTTGGTAAAAAAAAAGCTATTCTACAAAAAATTATAATTAAGCCTTAAGAATATTGTAAATGTTTTTTATGAAGATGTCATCTCACTGGGGTAGGGTGATACAAAAAAGGAAACTTTATACTCTCTCATTTAATAGCTGCCTTGCTAAAAGAGTGCATACACTACAATTCCAATAACTCTTGTTGAATTGTATAAATGCTGGTAGAATTACCGACAATATGTAAAGTGAAAGGACACAAGTACAGTGGACCCCCGGTTAACGATATTTTTTCACTCCAGAAGTATGTTCAGGTGCCAGTACTGACCGAATTTGTTCCCATAAGGAATATTGTGAAGTAGATTAGTCCATTTCAGACCCCCAAACATACACGTAGAAACGCACTTACATAAATACACTTACATAATTGGTCGCATTCGGAGGTGATCGTTATGCGGGGGTCCACTGTACAACTAATGTGACATTTTATTGTGGCAATGTTTCGCTCTCCAGGAGCTTCTGGAGAGTGAAATGTTGCCACAATAAAATGTTACATTAGTTGCACTTGTCCTTTTACTTTACAACTCTTGAATTGCAATATCCCCACTCATCCTTCAGAGTGCAGGTACAGTAATGTATTTTCCACTTACAGAACTCCTAGTTCCCTAAATCCATTCATAAGTGTTACCTTGCTTACCCCAACAACACATCTAGTCATAATAGTCACTTGTCTCTGTTCACTTTGATATAACACGGTCACACCAGCCTACTGGATGCTTGAGATCCTAGCACTTAAAACCTTTACCCCTCCCTTCAACCCTTCCGTGACAATCCCAACCCCCCTCCCCCCCTCTTTCCACTCCTGATTTATACACCCTCTTGATCAGCCTATTCTGCCCCATCACCTCTCTTACTTCCCAAACCACTTCAACCTTCTTGAATTATATACCCGTGGGAATCCCACTCTGAATTCTAATTTTTACTCTCAGAAATTCTATGCATAATATTCACACCACCCACTTTTCTCACACATGACATCGCCACTGACTCCAGTCTTCTCCTTACTTCAACTTTTAAAACCCGTACCTCTCACTAGTATGGAAGTGTTGGTACCACTATACAGTACTTTGGTACATTTCCATTTTTTTTGCTGACATTGATAAACTTCTTCCCACAGAGGCCTCAGCACATCACCTGCATCTTTTCCCTCATTTGTTCTTTGGTTCCAGTGTGCCATTATCATAACTGAGCAAAATAGTGGGGATTGCCAGTTAACCCTTAAACTCTCCAAACGTTGATCTACGTTTTTTCAACATTTGAAAGTATGTAAAAAAACGTAGATCTTTTCTTTTTTTTCATTTGAAAACGTGTAAAAAACTTATATCTACTTTTTTTTTTTGTTATACATGTATTTGAAAATATGTAAAAAAACATAGATCTACTTTTGGAGCACTGCACATGTGAACGTAAATTTGTTTGGACAGTTTAAGGGTTAAGTTGTTTTCGGCAATTGAGGAATGTTTTAGTTTATTTTTTAAATGTATGGTTTGGTAAGCCTTTGATATAATGGACTAAGAAGAGAAATTGTCTGTGTTGGTTATATCAGATTGTTATAAAATGGCAAAAATAAGCACTGAAGTACTATGCCGTATATCTAATATACTACAGTGGACCCCCGGTTAACGATATTTTTTCACTCCAGAAGTATGTTCAGGTGCCAGTACTGACCGAATTTGTTCCCATAAGAAATATTGTGAAGTAGATCAGTCCATTTCAGACCCCCAAACATACACGTATAAATGCACTTACATAAATACACTTACATAATTGGTCACATTTGCAGGTAATCGTTATGCGGGGGTCCACTGTACTGTACTCACAGTTTATAGGGTAATAAACATTGAAAAAGGAGTTAAAATTCAGTTCACCCAGTGATTTTTGCCCAATTTAAAAGTTCATTATATTGAGGGTTCCTGTACATTAAATACCCCATGTGGCTGGTGATGACAGTTATGGTAGAGGGAGATGCAATTGTATGGCAATGATTGTAACAATTAACAATTCTGCAACCAACACTGTCCATTGTTTCCAAATTGATTGACTCTGCTGATTTTGTTCCATATTTCTCAAGTTCAGTTTGTGGAGGGTTTACTGTAACTGAAATCTATGTTATATTTCCTTGATTTGACTGCTGTAAAGCTCATAAAATAGAATGATAAATTTTATGAATATCGTAAGTGGCTAAGGTATTTGTAATACTCTTAATTGCTGTTTACAAATACATGTATATATCCTGTGCACTTACTTTTTTTTTTTTTTTGTTTGCAAGGTTATCGGGTATCACGATGCTGAAGGAAGGTTGGGCCTTCAGTATGTAGTTCAGGTAGCGACGCAGCTCTTGTCACCAGCCACCAGTGAACACACAGCCACATTTGTAGGGCGGCTTATTACTGTTCTCATCCGGAGAGCTGGTGACCACTTGGGAGACAATTTGGATCTTCTCCTCAGAGCTGTTCTTAGTAAACTCCAGGTAAAGATTGTCAGTGCTTTGGTTAGAACATTTCAAACCTATAATTTAGAGCAAAAACTTTATAGACTGTTTCATAAAGGCCTGAACAATTATCATTGTGGCTTGATGATCTAAGCTGGACTGAACCACCATGTAAAGTGTCTTCTCCCAGTTAAGGGCAAGTGATGAACATCAAAAGTAAGAGTGTTAGTCAAATTCCTTCTAGTGTGTATACAATAATAAGATTTATTATGCTATACATAACACCAGTTTATATTTTTAAATGGATTGAGTAAAGTGAGCTACATATAATTCAGAGAATGCTATTTCCATTGGTGCTTCTTAGGGTGCGGAGACGCTAACTGTGGTTCAGAACCTTGTGCTGGTGTATGCTCAGTTGGTACACTCTCAATTGGAAGGTGTCCTAACCTTCTTAGCAGGTGTTCCAGGACCCTCAGGACAGTCTGCACTTCATTTTGTACTTACTCAGTGGTGTTCCAAACAGCATCTCTTCTTTGGTGCTTATGAAGGAAAGGCAAGTATGTTGTTTTGTTCGTTGAAAATTTTGCAAAGATCTGGTGGAATATAAGACTGTAGAATATATAATCATAATCTTGTAGTGGACTTGCAATGGAATAGTTAGGAAATATGAGAATCATTGCATGGAAGATAGTATTTTTAGCGCTAAAACTCGTGACTCGAGGAATGGGAGCTATCTTCTCCTTTCTCAGGTCAGGTCTCCTCCAGTTTTTTCAAATGTAAGGTCCTTGTGGGTTTAGAAATTTTCCATTGCTACAGTCAAATATATTTAGTTGCAACAATTTAAATATGTACCTATTTTTCATGTTGCTTATTTTTGACAGGTCAGTGCAGTAGCTCTAGCCAAGCTACTGGAGCATGGGGTTACATCGAATGATTCTCGTTTACAAGATATCATAGTTCAGGGAGACCAGGTAAGTCAAATTCAGCAAGGCCAATAATGATAACAGTAACTCAAAAAAAATAGCAATAACCTTGCTACTTGACCCTTTATATACTGTGCTTTGCCAATGGGATCATCAAATATGGAATATGATGTAAATAGCCTCACCCCTGAAAATGTTTCTATGTTAGGGATTTGATGGTGTCATTTTGACAGTTTCCTGGTATTTTTCATATTCAAATGTGCTGATCATCACTACCAGAAAATGTAACCATCTAAGCTACCGAAATTCACGTGAAAAGAACATGCTAAAAAATTACATTGAAACAAATGCATTATGAGCCACGAACAAAGGAAGAGGACAAGTGACGAAGAATGGGGTGCAAAGATGCATGACAAAGATGCATTGAATTAGCAAATCATGAGAATTATGAATATTTTGAATTTGTAAATGAATTTGTGAAAAATAAATACTAGAACGAGAGACTATTAGCATTGCTATATTTTTTAAATTGCAAATACGTAGTTTTCCCTCATTTACATGGCCAGATAACTGGTTAGGCCAGGAGGTACGACCCCCAAAACCCCACAGCCACAGCTAGAAGAGTACACAGTGTATGCTGTTCCTTTAAAATAGGTTGAATAATTTTGTTTAATATGTATGCTTTTTTTTTTTTAATTTATTCACTTAAGTTTTTCCCATTATTTTATTAGTCCTGTATGTAATATGCATTTTTGTCTTCAAGGTATTCTCGCCTGAGTGTCGAGTGAGAACACGATCCCAGCGTGCATCTCGTCCTGAGCAGTGGACTCAAGTACCTGTTTTGGTTAAAATATTCAAGCTCTTGATTAATGAACTTGCCAATGCAATTGACTCCAACATGACCAAAGATGATGATGAGGTAGTGAGGCTTCGTTCGAGCAACGTTTTTATGTTCATTGCTTCTTGGTATATCTTTCTCGTAATTGGTACAGGTTGGCCATCACTAATACGGTATCATTGGGACCTGTAGTGTGCTGGATTAGCAAGTTTGCCGGATTACAGAGTGGTTAGGTTAGAATACACTTAATTAACTTATCAACAGAGACTCTTTCTGCTAAATCATACTCATTTTCATCACTGCTTTCTCCTCCACTGGCTTGCTGCTGTGGATTTACAACCATCTGCACAATTTTTGAGTCAATATATAATGATGAAATTTGAAATTATGCTTGCTGAAATTAGTGCCGGATTACTGATGGAACCAGATAACTGATTGCCGGATTAGTGATGGCCGACCTGTAGTTAGCTTTGAATATTATAATAAATATATTTAATATTTTTGTTTACAATAGTCATGTACTGAACTTAACTTTCTCTGATTAATCTTCAAAGAAGTTAAAAAGTTTGTCAGAGCAGCCATGAAGTAGTAGTCAGAGTTGACATGGCACAGATCAGAAGTATATATGTATAGACAACACACAAACTTAACCTTGCCTTCTGGGTTCCATGGATCTTTCAAGAGTTTTCCATGTTTACTGAAAGCCCCTGATAGCTTACTAGTTATGGTATGTATTGTAATAAAGTTGGTAGAATTACCGACAATATGTAAAGTAAAAGGACACAAGTGCAACTAATGTGACATTTATTGTGGCAACGTTTCGCTCTCCAGGAGCTTTATCAAGCCATTACAAACAATACATGGACACAGAGGGTATATAAAGGCTCAGAGTGAGGTGTAATATTAGTGAGGTACCATTTCGATGTTCACTAGTGGTAGTAGTAGTAGTAGTAGTAGTAGTAGTAGTAGTAGTAGTGGTGGTAGTGACAAAAGTAATACAATATGGTAGAGCAATTAATTCGTACATGAGTAAAAGGATATAAAAGCTATTACTTGGGTAACATAAAAATAGGTTGGACAAATATGGACTGGAATGAGGCAGCTTGTTTCAGTGTTCACTCCCTGTGCTCTGTGTAGTATAACAGGAGAGACTATGTGATGGCAGGGTTTACTGTTTTCAGGAGGATTCTTGCTAAGACTTCGGAGATGGTGAAGCTGCCGTTGTTTTGTTTAATTGTATTCGAAACTGCGATCAGTGCTGATTCGAGGCACTTGTGTCTGCGGAAATTAGTTTCTTTGGTCATTAATTGGGCGTCTCTGAATTTCATGAGATGATTGGTGGAATTTCGGTGTTGTACACAGGCGTTGTTCAGGTTATCATTCCTACGTGCGTAAATGTGTTCATTGAGGCGGGTGTCGAGGTTTCTGGCTGTTTCACCTACGTAAATCTTGTCACAGCCTCCACAGGGTATAGTGTAAACTCCTGCATTGACTGGTTCGTGGTGCTTGGATTTTGTCCTGGTTATATCCTTTATTGAAGTGCTTGATAAAGCTCCTGGAGAGCGAAACATTGCCACAATAAATGTCACATTAGTTGCACTTGTGTCCTTTTACTTTACATATTGTCGGTAATTCTACCAACTTTATTACAATCTGTCGGACACCGCAACATAATGGACATTTCATGCAGACGTTATTTGGACACCCTTCTTCGTGCTCACAGCTATCGCAACAGACACAACTTCCTACAAGATTGGCTGGCAGAGAAGGTGATCCCTAAGTCTACTCCTGCACAACTCTCCAACTCCAAGCACCCCTTCTCTCCAGCTACCCAAGCTTACTTAACTGAATGTGCCGAAGAACTTTCTAACATCGCTAAGGAAACCTTTGAAACTGCAAGGAATATGAGGGCCAATCTTCAGATTGACCAACACACTGCTGAGCATATTCTCAGCACAGTCACCACAGCTAACCTCCAACAAAAGATCAAACTCAGTCGCAAACTTCAGTACCTCTGCTCTAACAGTCGATGGAAGGAAATGGGACGTGAATCCCTGATAAACAACTTATCGTCATGCACCTTAACCGACTACAAAAAACAAGCACTGAGTCTGGGACTCAAATTTACCACCAACATACTCAAACCTAACTATCAACTCAATCTAGTTACCAGGAACCATAGACACAGTGACAGCAACTTCCAGAAGGGTTATATACAGGGCCTTCTCACTGCAGCTTTATGTGAACCACCTCCTTCTAATCTTCCTAGACGATACATCACTGCCCTTAAGAACCTTGCCAACGACCCCAACATTATCGTCACCACCGCCGACAAAGGAGGTGGAGTCGTCATCCTCAACACCAGTGACTACAACACTAAAATGATGGACCTTTTGAATGATCAATCTACATACGAACCCATCAGCACTCAACAGTGGGAGACGCTCACCAAAGATTTTCTATACAAAACCAGACAAATACTCAAACGCACTAGAGAAGGGAAGAAACTTCTGTACTTGTTACCAAGCAACCCTAAACCAGCACACATGTATGGTTTACCCAAGACCCATAAACACAATATTCCTCTCAGACCAATCACGTCAGGAATAGGCAGTGCTCCACACAAACTAGCCGGAGTTCTTGCCAAACATCTTTCCTGCCTTCTGGGGACCATCAGCCCCGCTCATCTTAAACACTCAGCAATTAAGAGAGAGGTGAAAGTGTGTAAACTAAGGGAGGAGGAAGTTAGGGTGAGATATAAGCAGCTATTGGCAGAAAGGTGGACTAATGAAAGTATGAATAATTGAGGGGTTGAAGAGGGTTGGAATAGTTTTAAAAATGCAGCATTAGAATGTGGGGCAGAAGTTTGTGGCTATAGGAGGGTGGGTGCAGGAGGAAAGAGGAGTGATTGGTGGAATGATGAAGTAAAGGGTGTGATAAAAGAGAAAAAGGTAACTTATGAGAGGTTTTTACAAAGCAGAAGTGTTATAAGAAGAGCAGAGTATATGGAGAGTAAAAGAAAGGTGAAGAGAGTGGTGAGAGTGCAAAAGGAGAGCAGATGAAAGAGTGGGAGAGGCACTGTCAAGAAATTTTAATGAAAATAAGAAAAAAATTTGGAGTGAGATAAACAAGTTAAGAAAGTGTAGGGAATGAATGGATTTGTCAGTTAAAAACAGAGGAGGGGAGTTAGTAGATTGGGAGCTAGAGGTATTGTGTAGATGGGAATATTTTGAGGAGCTTTTAAATGTCGATGAAGGAAGGGAGGTGGTAATTTCATGCACTGATCAGGGAGGTATAACATCTTCTAGGAGTGAAGAAGCGCAGGATGTGAGTGTGGGGGAGGTGCGCTAGGCATTACATAGAATGAAAGGGGGTAAAGCAATTGGAACTGATGGGATCATGACAGAAATGTTAAAAGCATGGGCAGATATTATGTTGGAGTGGTTGGTATTTTTGTTTAAGAAAGGTAAGAGGAGAAGGTACCTAGGGATTGGCAGAGAATATGTATAGTTCCTTATATTAAGGGAAGGGGGCAAAAGAGATTGTAAAAGTTATAGGGGAATAAGTTTACTGAGTATACCAGGTAAAGTATGGTAATTATTGAAAGAATTAGAGGTAAGACAGAGTAGGATTACAGATGAGCAAGGAGGCTTTAGAGTGGGTATGGGATGTGTAGATCAAGCGTTTTCATTGAAGCATATGTGAACAGTATTTAGATAAAGGGAAGTTTTCATTGCATTTATGGATATAGAAAAGGCATATGATAGAGTGGATAGGGGAGCAGTGTGACAGATGTTGCAAGTGTAGAATAGGTAGTAAGTTAATAAATGCTGTAAAGAGTTTTTATGAGGATAGGCTCAAGTTAGGGTATGTAGGAGAGAGGGAGATTACTTCCCTGTAAAAAGTTGGTCTTAGACAGGGATGTGTAATGTCACCATGGTTGTATAATATATTTATAGATAGGGTTGTAAAAGTAAATGCTAGGTTGTTGGTGAGAGGGGTGGGATTAAATTATGGAGAATCAAGTACAAAATGGGAGTTGACACAGTTACTTTTTGCTGATGATACTGTGCTGATGGGAGATTCTAAAGAAAAGTTGGAAAGGTTAGTGGATGAGTTTGGGAGGGTGTGTGAAGGTAGAAAGTTGAAAGTGAACATAGATAAGAGTAAGGTGATTTAGATTTAGATAAAGAATAATTGGATATCACACTAGAGGGAGGGAGTATGGAAGAAGTGAATGTTTTTAGATATTTGGGAGTTGACTTGTCAGCAGATGGGTTTTTGAAGGATGAGGTTAACAATAGAATTGATGAAGGAAAAAAGGTGAGTTGTGCATTGAGGTATTTGTGAGCACAAAAAAATGCTATCCATGGAGGCGAAGAAGGGAATGTACAAGAGGATAATGGTACCAACACACTTATATGGGTGTGAAGGTTGGGTTGTAAATGATGCAGCGAGGAGGTGGCTGGAGGTAGTGGAGATGTCCTGTGTAAGGGCATTGTGTGGTGTAACTATTATGCAGAGAATTCGTGGTGTGGAAATTAGGAGGAGGTGTGGAGTTACTAAAAGTATTAGAGGGCTGAAGAGGGGTTGTTGAGGTGGTTTGGTCATTTATAGAGAATGGATCAAATTAGAATGACTTGGAGAGCATATAAATCTGTAGGGGAAAGGAAGACGTTTAGAGATCGTCCTCGAAAAGGTTGGAGGGAGGTGGTACAGGAGGTTTTGTGGGTGAGGGGCTTGGACTTCCAGCAAGTGTGTGTGAGCATGTTAGATAGGAGTGAATGGAGATGAATGCTTTTTGGGACCTGATGAGCTGTTGGAGTGTGATCAGGGTAATATTTAGTGAAGGGATTTAGGGAAACCGGTTGGCCAGACTTGAGTCCTGGAAATGGGAAGTACAATGCCTGCATTATAAAGGAGGGGTTTGGGATATTGACAGTTTGGAGGGACTTCTAGACTGTCGTATCTGAGTGCCTCTACAAAGAGGGTGATTATGTGTTAGTGGGGTGAAAGTGTTGAATGATGATGAAAATATTTACTTTTTGGTGATTTTCTTTCTTTTTGGATCACCCTGCATTGGTGGGAGACGGCCGACTTGTCAAAAAAAAAAAAAATAGTTCTGGATGGTTTAATGGATTTAGAATGTGCAGTGGTTTGCATAATGTAAAGTTCAATGGAGAGAGTGCCTCTGCTGACCATGCTGCTGCAGGAAAGTCCCCAGTTGAGATAGCTATCATTTTCTTTAAAGGTGGTTACAAACCTGAGCAGGTGTTTACTGCTGATGACAGGTTTGTTCTTCCAGAAGATGCCATCAAGAACAGACATCAGCAAACAAGATTCAAAGCTCCAAAAAGATAGTTTCAAGCAGTTTGCTTCTTTGCAGTAATGCATGAAGAGACTAAATGTAAGCCTGTGTTTATCGCTTCAAATGCATAAGGAGACTAAATGTAAACTTTTGTTTATCACTTCAAAAATCCCTGTACTCTAAAAGTAAAAATAAAAGCACCTTGCTTCTGTTAACTGAATAGGATTATGATACATCAGGATGCCGTGTGTCAGACCCTTATCACTGGCACTGCAAAAGAGTTTGATTACCTCATCCACAGATTGCTTTGGTGTTCCTGAAATCTTCAGGCAGGCTTAACCTTGAGGAATCTGGCCTTGCTAGTTTTTGAACTATTATTGAGATGTATTGTTTGCTGCAGCAGCCTGAACCTTTTAGAAAGACAAAATACTTGTAATGTGATTAATCTTGGTTTCATTGGTCCAGTAATTGTCTAAAGAGGGACAAGAAATAATGTCCCTGAATAGCAGCAATACTTCACTGAAATTTAAAATTTTAGAAGTCACAAATTTTGTGTTAGTGTCCTAAACTGCCTACAATTTGGCATGAAATACTGGATGATCTATAAAGTCCTGAGTAAAAAAATTTCACAACTGTATGGATGTATTATGTGTTTGCCTACGTCATGTATGAATGCATGGAAAGGATCATTTATATCAGCTCTTTCCCATACACACACTGTGTTGTTGGCCATTTGGTACTGCAACTGTTCCTCATCAACTTGTGCTTCTCTTCTTACAAGTTGATGTTATTTAGTAAGGAGCCCCTTTCTCCGTAGTAATTCTTAAATTTGTTTTTCGCTCGACAATGAGCCTTCGGTTAGCATCTCATTTGGAAAATTTATGTCACTTTGATGTAAATTTTCAGGATCAGTCAGAGCATAGTCAGTGTTTCTCTGGGCTCTTGATCTGCAAAAAATGGGTTCTTTGACATCTGATGAGAAACACAGCACAATATTAGCATTACAAGACCACATTTGCATGCACATTTTCACTGTATAAAATGTTATGTATCAGTGTCCTGGATCTGTGATGGTATACCATATGTTGGCGGTAAGTGTTTATTTACCTGACTCGCATTCTGGAAACAGATTCAGAAACTTATCACCATTTTGGAGTGGTGAAAAAGGTCGAAGTAAGAGAACCTCACAAGTGAATACCTGACTGAAACAGAGGCTCAGTAGAAAGTGTTTGCATGTTACTCTCCTAGCCAGTGGTATGAGAGAACAGAAGGACACATGGTGGATGATGATTTTTTAGGAGCCTTACCGTTGGTTGGATATAAAGTTGGAGGAGGTAGCTCTCAGTCATTCACTTACATGCCTCCATAGGAGGAGATAGCTCTCAGTCATTCACTTACATGCCTCCATAGGAGGAGATAGCTCTGTTGTTCACTTCCATGTCTCTATTGGAGGAGATAGCTGTGTCGTTCACTTCCATGCCTCCATAGGAGGAGATAGCTCTGTCGTTCACTTCCATGCCTCCGTAGGAGATAGCTCTGTGGTTCACTTCCATGCCTCCATAGGAGGAGATAGCTCTGTCGTTCACCTCCATGCTTCCATAGTAAGAGGTAGCTCCATGCCACTTAGCTTCCACAGCTCCATATTTAACATGTTTTTAGGAGGCACCAAGCTAATGCCTGCACAGTGAATGGTATGGCTATATTTTCACAGGCCTGTGTGGTTGCTACGTCAGCCGCTCCACTACCTTTCCCTACACACTTTTATATTTTTTCTTTTAAACATTCAAATTTTTACACTTCTTCCCATTTATAGCACTGTTAGCATCACTAGTATTCCTTTTTGGTGTCATAGTTAATATCCAGAGATGACAGGATGATGAGAGGGTTGAAACCAGGAGTGGTAAACACGAGACGTTGTTGCGAGTTTGCATCACTGGCCCAAGCTCCTGGTACCAACAGTGGTCATTGATATAAAAATGTGGAAAGAGGAAAAAAATTCCACTCATAATATATTTGTAATGTGATGTATGTTGGTCTCCTGTACATGCAAGATACTCAATATGCCATTCATTACTATGGCTGTTATACTAATTATTATTATTATTGAAATATTAGTTTGTAGTGGTTAATCAGATTTTGACAGTTGTGTAGTGGTAAATATACATATGGGTGACTAAGGTGGCACACAATAGTTGATTATGGCATTAGTGGTGATAGCAGAGGTACTGGATTCTGAGCCCTGCAAGGGGGAGTGCTCTGATGTTGATGAAGGGCTCTTGATCCAGGGAATTAGAGCTACCTTTTCCTTGGTTCAAGCCTGATCATTATCCATTTTCCCCTGGCACTGTATAACCCCCTGTGGGGTTTATCGTCTCCCAATGAATGTAGTAATAACTTCATTTTGAAAGAGAGTTGAAAGGCAAATAAGTTTTTTTTCAGTGTTGTAAAAGCTGCAGATAATTAAAATTTTGCATTGATTGCAGCAGGAGTCTGAAGATGAATGCTGGGAAGATGATGAGGAGGAAGGTCAGACCAATGGGGATACAACTTTGGCATCTATGTTTGCTCCATCCAGTAGTTACCCAGGCTATGATGCAGACACTGTAGATGAGGAGGATGATCCTGACGCGGTAAGTTATTTTCTTTTTCCTTTACGGTAAATGATTTTCTTGCAGAGGCTATGTAGAGGTTTTTCAATCATTGGATATAAATCAGTTTCTTTGATCTTTTCTTACCGAGTTTTAAATTCTCATATTTTGTTTCCTTTGCCATTATTACATATCACCAAAAGCGAACCTCTAACCTTTTCACTTTCATGCACTTTAAAGGAGGGGTTTGGGATATTGGCAGTTTGGAGGGATATGTTGTGTATCTTTATATGTGTATGCTTCTAAACTGTTGTATTCTGAGCACCTCTGCAAAAACAGTGATAATGTGTGAGTGTGGTGAAAGTGTTGAATGATGATGAAAGTATTTTCTTTTTGGGGATTTTTTCTTTTTTGGGTCACCCTGCCTCGGTGGGAGACGGCCGACTTGTTGGAAAAAAAAAAAAAAAAAGATCTATCTACATTATTGCTGTCAGGATCAGTCATGTAGATCTATGTCATGAGCTCAGATCACTCTTATAAACTGAGAGCAGTAAATTTTGGCCTAGATAAGAGAGAATGGGTCTGTGTGGTAAGTAAAAACAGTATAAAAAAAATACTTGCCATGGTAGAAAAAACAAACCCTAACTTTGTGTTTCGTTTAACCCTTTGACTGTCGCGGCCGTATATATACGTCTTACGAGGTACCGTGTTTGACGTATATATACTCATAAATTCTAACGGCTTCAAATCAAGCAGGAGAAAGCTGGTAGGCCCACATGTGAGAGAATGGGTCTGTGTGGTCAGTGTGAACCATATAAAAAAAATCCTGGAGCACGCAGTGCATAATGAGAAAAAAAAACTCCGACCGTTTTTTTTAATTAAAATGCCGACTTTGTGGTCTATTTTCGTATAGTATTTATGGTTGTATTCTCGTTTTCTTGGTCTCATTTGATAGAATGGAAAACATATTATAGAAATAGAGGTGATTTTGATTGATTTTACTATAAAAAGAACCTAGAAATGGAGCTCAAAGTAGGGGAAATGTTTGATTTTTGTCAATGTTCAAAAGTAAACAAATGATGCCATTGTCCAATAAATATCCAACTAGCCATTCTAATATGCAGTCATGAATGGGTTTATGTTATTTATACAATTATTACAGTATTGCAGTAGTCTGCATAATAGTAAGTCTTCTATTTTTTGTTTGAATAAAAATTCAAAATAGAAAGCAAGAGTAATATCAGAGGGGCCTGGAGACGTGACTGATGAACAAAGAAAATGTTATTTTAGAGCCAGGAATGTCTGCATTGTTCATTCTAGACCTTATTTTGAAATTGTCATATTTTCTAGTTTTCATTAAATTGGCAAATTGCAAATTTCTGACCACATTTTTAGGTAGTTGAAATCGGTAAATGGGCAGTTTCTTGTACTCAGTCGATAGAAAAAAATGGAGTTCTAAAGAAATAGCTATGAGTTTGGGCGACTGGAACAATGGAATTAGCCGAAAAAAGGGCTCAAAGTGGGCGAAATCGCCGATTTGTAAACAGCGCCGAGGTCGCCAACTTCGCGAGAGGATAATTCCGTCAGTTTTCCATCAAATTTCGTTTTTTTGGTGTCATTACAATCGGGAAAAGATTCTCTATCATTTCATAAGAAAAAAATAATTTTTTTTTTTTAAATTTTGTGACACCAGGAGACACCTCAGGATTGGGGATTGCGACAGTCAAAGGGTTAAAATAGCAACTCGGGTGTTTTCTAGGATTTTTTTTTATCGCTTTATTGACTGTTTTGGAAGACACTCCACTGAAAGAGAGATGTAATTTTGGTTGATTCTAGGACTGAAAGTAGCTTGAAATTGGCCTAAAAATAGTGGAAATATTCAATTTTGCTGATGTACCCGAGTACAGGTTACACTTGAAATAATTTATTAGCATGCTGTAACCATGACTAATCATTCCTGGTTATATTTTATCCAAAAAATACAGTAAATTTTCTGTTTTTTTTTTTTTTTTTTTTTTTTGTGGTGAATTCAAAATGAAGGACAAGTGTAATACAGGACAGGGCTGGGGATGTGATTAATAAACAGAGGAAATGTTTTAGCACCTGGTATGTTTACATTGTTTATATTGGACTTTGTTTTTAAATTGGAATTTTTTTAATGTGTAAAGTTAGCCAAATTAACCCCTTGACTGTCGCAACCCCAAATCCTGAGGTGTCTCCTGGTGTCGCAAAATTTCAAAAAAAAAAAAAAAGAAAGAAATTTGATGAAAAACTGATGGAATTACGCCCTTGTGAAGTTAGCGACCTCGGTGATATTTACAAATTGGCGATTTCACCCATTTTGAGCCCTATTTTCGGGTAATTCCATTGTTCCAGTCGACCAAACTCATAGCTATTTCTTTAGAACTCCATTTTTTCTATTGATTGAGTACAAGAAACTGCCCATTTACCAATTTCAACTGCCAAATAATGTGGTCAGAAATATGCAATTTGGCCAATTTCACGGAAAATAAAAAATATGACAATTTCAAAGGATCCTGAATGAACAATGCAGACATTTCTGGCTCTAAAATAACATTTTCTTTGTTCATCAGTCACGTCTCCAGGCCCCTCTGATATTACTCTTGCATTCTATTCTGAATTTTTATTCAAACAAAAAATAAAAGATTTACTGTAATGCAGACTACTGCAATATTGTAATAATTGTATAAATAATGTCAACCCATTCATGACTGTATATTAGAATGGCTACTTGGACATTTATTGGAAAATGACATCATTTGTTTACTTTTGAACATCGGCAAAGATCAAACATTTCCCCTACTTTGAGCTCCATTTCAAGGTTCTTTTCATAGTAAAACCAATCAAAATCACCTCTATTTCTATAATATGTTTTCCATTCTATCAAATGAGACCAAGAAAACAAGAATACAACCATAAATACTATACAAAAATAGACCACAAAGTCGGCATTTTAACCCTTCAACGGTCCAAACGTATATATACGTTCTCTCACCCAGTGCCCCGAATATTTTGAAAAATAATTTTTTTTTTCATTGAAATAGAGAAAAATTTTCTAAGCGTTATAGGATTAAAATAAAAGAAATAGTGTCAGTATTTACTTAGATGTGAGGCTGCAAATTTGGCACTTAATGCCCACCTGACAGCAACATTGAGTCCTGCCACTTGCAGAAGTGTTGCTGATATACCATTTTTTTTTAATTTATATTATTTTATATAATTTTTATATTCTGATAATTACAATATATTGTAGTTCTTGTCATTTCATAACCAATCTTTGTTCTGACACTAGTATTAAATACTGAAATTGTACTCAAATTGTCACAAACACATTGACAAGTGGACATTTACACCTGCCATGGTCATTTACTATTGTCTAGGAATATATACAAAGTATTTATAGGTCCCAGCAATGTTTTGGATACACGGGAGTATAGAAGAAGAAGAAGAAGGAAGAAGGAAGAAGTTTCCTTGAAGCAATGTGTAAGACAAGTGTCAGTGACAAGCATCCGGGAGGGCAGTGGTAAGATGAGATAAGGGATATTTGATGGGCGCCAGCGAGGGTGCAGAGATAAGATGAGACGAGGGATGACATTCCGTGGGTGCCAGTGAGGGTAGAGAGATAAGGGGTGACATGCGATGAGCTTGTATCTCTGTCTCTGCTTATCTGTCTCTCTGTCTGCTTGTCTCTTTCCATCTCTCTGCTTGTCTTTGACTCAGAGAGAGCCACTGTGAACCAACAGGTTTTCTTATGCATTATATCTACAAGCACAGTATAGCACTTCAATTTTTTAGGTTTTTAGGGGAATTTTCACTATGTTAATTATATTTTTGTTTTACCTGTGAGACAGATAAAAAAGTAGGCAACAAGGGAACAGCAGAGATACCCAAAAAAAAGACAAACCCCTTTAAATTTGGGGGTTAAACCACTTTCCTCTTAAAAGGGGGTGTTTGCCGCACTTTTGCCTAGCTGGGGTAATTTAACTGGCGCTCCCACAAGGAACTAAGTGGTCCCAGATTTTTTTTAGTAGGGCACATCGAGTGTTAAGCCCCATTCAGCTGACCACACTCAGGCCAATCGTGCAAATTTGGAGGCGGGAAAAATAAAATGTATATATATTTTGGGGGCGCTAGCGGAAGAACGTTAAACGTTTGGCCTTTTAAGGGAAATATTTTGAGGGGGGTTTCTTGTGTCAATTGATAAATGGAATTCATACTACAAGTAGTTAAAAATTTCCTAAAATTTTTAGTAAAACGGGACCAATTTTTGGGCAAAATTGCTGATAGCAATTTCCCCCGGGAAACAAAATTTACCCCTTGGGAAATTTTTGCAAGTTTTCTATAAAATTTTGGTATTCTTGTGTCATACCTTCAAAAAAAGATTTTCTACTTTCAGTTTTTTTTTTTAAGTGGACACTGATGCACTAAATTTCACAGGTCAACAGTGAAAGGGCTGAGAGGTTCCCCTGAATTTTTTTTTAATTACGGAATGTACAGATTTGAATAAAAATAGAAAAAAAGGAAAAAAAAAAATAGTTTTAGGGCATTTTTAATTTTAACAAGGGGAGATTTTTTTTTTCTGAACATTCTCAGCCCAAATTTAAATGGGCCCCTCAAACCCCAGCTCCGTCCCACCTTCCATTACATCATTGCCCTCAGAACTAAAGTAGAAGACACTAACATCAGTATCACCACAAAGGAGGTGGTGTTATCTTGGACACTATCAACTACAGGAACAAAATGCACATACTAAATGACCCAGACACCTATGAGCCTCACAGGTCAAGTGGACAGTCTAACCAAAACTTTTCTATGCAAGACTTGCCACATTCTAAAAGACTCGGACACTATCCCCACCAACCCCAGAATGTACAGCCTATGAAGACTCAAACCAGTTCCATTGAGACCCATCATCCTTGGAAAAGGCAGTGCCCCCACTGACTATTTGGGATTCTAGCAAAATGCCTAGCTAAACTCTTGGGCACAATCAGTTGAACATATCGTAAACACTGGTGTTCTTG